ACGGACACGAGGTGAAACCTGGTTCGGTGGTTTGAGAAGAGTTAATGGGCCGTGTTGTAGCCCAAAAAAGTTTCGGTCGTAAGCAACAAAGATATCAGGAAGATCCACGATCTGCAGCGGGAGGAGAAGACAATGGATTATCTAGGGATTGATGTGAGCTGTGCGATCGGATCTCTCCGGGGCGGTGAGTTCCCGGCGAAAGATTGTCTTCTTCCACTCATTTCCAAGCTGCTCGGTTACTGCCTCGTCGCTGCTTCGATTACCGTCAAGCTTCCTCAGGTATGAATCACTTGGTCTCTTGTTTCTCATCCTACCTCCCAGTTTGACTAATTGATATTCTCCAGATAATGAAAATCGTGCACCATAAGAGTGTAAGAGGCCTAAGTATTGTAGCATTTGAGCTCGAGGTGGTTGGCTATACAATTTCCCTTGCTTATTGTCTGCACAAAGGCCTTCCCTTTTCGGCTTTTGGTGAAATGGCGTTTCTTTTGATCCAAGGTACACGAATTTATGGATGTGTGTTTACAATTTCATACAATATTATGTAGACACTAATATGATCTGTGATGATCATTTCTATCATCCTCTTATCTCTCCTTTGCCTTTGCAGCTTTAATCTTGGTTGCTTGTATCTATTACTTTTCCCAACCAGTCCCTGTAGCAACTTGGGTCAGGGCCCTCCTGTATCCTTACAGTGTTAAGAATTTCCTAGCTTTGATTTGAGGCTCTCTCTATTGGTTTTTCTTAATACAAAGCTTGATGCAGATATTGTGCTATAGCACCAACTGTGCTTGCGGGGCAGATTAATCCTGCGCTTTTTGAGGCTCTTTATGTGGGGAGGAATTCCTACTCTTAAGCTCTCTTTGTGTGTACAATTAGGTAGTCTCTGTTTGTCTAATGGTAACTCTCTGTGTTGTAGGCTTCACAGCATGCCATATTTCTGTTTGCAAGACTCCCTCAGATATGGAAGAACTTCAAAGTGAGTCTGTACTAGATTAGTTGTCATTTGCCCTTGTTTGTGATTGATGAATCTTCTTGTTGGACTAGGTATGTGTAAATGGTATTTTTTTTATCTTCAGTCACGTATCCAATGCTTACAGCAATCTTTCAGTCATACCCTCATGTTCATGTCATCAATTTATGGTTAACTGTCATAGATAGATTACCTTACAATTCTTTGCTGGATCATTTTCCCTTTCCAAACCAAATTGGTTTGGGTCTTGAATTGCAGAGGACAAAGCTATTGTTTAAAATGTCGGGTACATATATGTTGGCTATGAGCAAATATATTTTTTCTATACATTCCTTGCATATATATATATACTTTCAGAACCATATATGCAAATATTATTGTATGACTCACATCATTCTCTCTCTTGACAGAACCAAAGCACAGGAGAACTTAGTTTCTTAACATTCTTTATGAACTTCAGCGGGTCCATAGGTAAGAGGGCTCTCCCTTGTTGGATGTCTCTTGTATTTTCCGTTGGCTCTGTCAAAATTTTCATCTCACAATGTTTGTTTGTTTCCTTCCCAGTGAGAGTTTTCACAAGCATCCAGGAAAATGCTCCACTTAGCAGTATCCTTTTCCGCCTAATGTCTTCCTGTTATATGCATGCTGTAATCATACATACACATTACAATCATATATGCTCTCTATAGAAAGCTTTCTTTTCCTCAACCTTTCCATAGTTCTTATGGGTTTTGCTCTTGGAGTCTTCACCAACGGAACCATCCTGATTCAGATTATCTTGTATGGCAAGCCCACTGCAGAAAAAGAGAAGAAAGCCAACTGAAAGAAAAGTCAAAAGATGTCCCAAATCAAGTACTGGTCTTGCAGGCTCCAAAAAGAGAATAGACTGTGTTACAATTAGGGTAATTTTTCTTTCTTTTATATCCCTGTTCGAGGATTCCAGCCCATCACATATCTTTCTTTCTAATGCGAGATGTGGATTAAAGACTTATTTATGAACGTAAATTGCTGTTTAAGCTACATATATTGGCTTGATATCAAGATCCAGAACCCGCAATGGTTCTTATTTCTTAATGTAACAGTAGATTTTTTGGTCAGCACGAGAAAACGACTATTTTTTTAACCTGTACCATTTCTTTAAAACTTAGCTAAATTCAACCTGGTCAACGTATTTATTCAAATTTTCAATATGAACAAACATCGCCCTGATAAGGCGTTGGATAATTTTCACTTTTGTTGGCAAGAAAACTTAATTGTATGGCCAAACAATTAAAAAATGACAATTTTCATTTTCAACATCTACTATGTCAAAGACTCAAAAGTGCACTTTATATTCAACTAGTATTAAGGCCCCTGCTATGTAGGGGCAAAATATTTGTTAAATAATTTCAATTTTTTTTAATAGAAAATAAGATTATACATTAAGGTTTTCTTAAAAGTAATGTGCATTTTTTCATTAGTATTTTTTAAAAACATAAAATCATTATATTCTTGAAAGATAAAAAAAATTGGAAAAAAAAGAAAATTTTATCTTTTCCAATAAAACATTAAAATCTTAGTATCAAATGATTTTAACTCTGATGAATGAGAATACGTGAAATTTGAACCTAATTACTTACAAAAAGTAATTAGCTTCTAAACATCCACATTGCAAAATAACAAAATAATCAAACAGAAAGAAAGCATAAATATATTGCACAACTGAAGAATAATAAAATTTATATTTGAAACTATCGCAAAGAAAAGCTAAAACTTATATCAACACTTTTTGTTGCCAAAGAAGATATTCAGTATATATTTAAATACACTTTTACATAATGCTATTCTGTGCATATATTTGATTGTTGGTTACACACGAAAATTAGTAAAAGACAATAAAATTTACAAATTCAGAAAACCTATATAAAATGAAAAATTACATTACAAAAAGGGGGGAAATTCACTTTCTCGCCAAGGTCGTGATCTCCACCAAAATGGTTTAAAGTGGAAGAATAATCTCTTCAAATGTTAACTCTATATTTCATCAAAAAAATATATGGAAACTTTATAGCTATCATTGTGCTGCAATACAAGTACAAACCAAAAAGAAAACAAAATGCTTCTCAACTTAAATAAAAAGAAACTGCGGTATTGCTTTTGGAAAAATTATACACTTCGCATCATAAAGCCCAATTACGTGGTTCACGGATATAATGAAGAAAATGCAAAATTTGATGATTATACTTTATTACGTAAAGGTCTAATCATTTGTTGGTTTTCTCTGGTTTCTTGTGAGTAAAAAAAAGATAAAAAAGAGATGTATGAATAGAATGAGATACATAACTAAACAAATGAAATGGGTTTAGCAAATATGATATGGAATAACAACTAACCTTAGATTTGATTTGTGAATATCAAATCCGAGTTCGCGTAGACTGGAAAACATAGATATTAATTAATGAAACTACGATCTTGATTTTTAGATTTTTTTATTCAAAATTGATTCTGAACTGTTTAATTCTTTCGTTTAAATTATTTTAAAACAAAATCATTAATTACTTTTCTCTCTCAATTACTATCATATATTTTTTCTTGTCAAAGGACGTAGTATATCTTTTACAAAATATTTATATACATATACTAACTTAATTAGTTAATTAACTTTTGTCACTTTTTGATGATAAATATATATCTATATGGGGCAATTGCAAAAATACCATTTTTGGTGTGTATATTTGCAAAAATGCCACTTAGGAGTGTCCATTTGCAAAAATACCACTAATTATGGATTTTTAAAGGATAAATCTTAAAATTATAAACCCTAAAAAATGTTTTGACCCCTAAAACCCCTAAAACCCTCAAAACGAAACCCTAATACAAATAGTTAACCCAAACATAAATGATATAATGAACTTTTTTTTTTTAAAAAAGTGGCATTTTTGCAAAGATTTTGAAAAATGACACTTGAAAAGTGGCCTTTTTAAAAATTTCTCTATATTTATCTATTGATGCAAACATACGACATACTAAAATTCTTTTATAGTGCCCTTAATATATAAAGGGAGATTTGATTTAATACTCCAATTATTTTATAAAATTTTAAAACTAACCTTTGTTTGAAATCTTTTGAAATATAACTTTATTTTTGAATAAAAAGATAATAATAGCCTGATAAGTTTAACAATTTACAATTACTAAAACCATATTGTTTTTTTCAAATTTTGAAAATAAAAAATAATTTTCGGAATTAACCAGAGTTAAATAAATATATATATATTGTGATATATCTTTTAAAGAAACTTACTAAATTTCTCCTAAATTTATGCTAATACTAATTTATATCTAGATAAATAAAAATATTATTAAAAAATATACACTTATATACCAAAATCTGTTCTTAACTTCATCAATCATTCAATAACCGTAGCCATGGCTATATTAAAAAAATAAACTTTGTTATATTTGACTTTTCATTGGGCACATATTCTTTCTTTTTTTGCTAAATCATTTGGTTTTACATATTTTATTCATGGCAATTTCAATTAAAGTTGTTTGCGCAACACCTATTGTTTTATCACTTGTAAGATTTTTTAAAAAAATCAACATGATAATAAAAGAATACTTTGATTTATGTATCATGGAGTTTAGTAACACAATTAATAAAAAAAATTAGCACCTTTCAAGAAGATTAATTATAGCATCATATCAAGTTTCAAAAATTTAAGTTCATATGACATGTCTTTTTAATTATTTTTTAAAATTATGTTAGAGTTATTTTAAATCGCACATTAAAATAAATTGATGATTATTTTCGTTTTTAGTTTTGATTATTTAAAACAAGTTAGCAGAAAGGTTAATTTTCAAAAGATTTAGAACATGGATTACTTTTCAAAATATATAAAGTTTAAGGAATATTTTTAGAAATTTTCTCATATATAAAAGTATATTGAGGCAATTATAAAAATACCATACATGGGCTGACACTTTGCAATTATGCCACACGCAGAGTGCCTCTTGCAATAATGCCATTATTTTGTCCAAAAATGACAATTTTACCCATTAAAGAAAGAAAGCTTTAT